TCTACGTTGTATTGCATTGTAATTGAGTTTAATTAAACTCCAATTAAAACGCAATCCTATATAGGAACGCGTTTAATCGATTTAATATCGCAACAAGTTAATTCAACTATATTAAAAGTTAATCGAATGTGTGGCGTTACAACTACGGTAAGACCTGTATGTGTGCTTGGGAGCGAGTAAGTGCGTGTGTATGTACAGTTATTATGACAGCCAAATCGAAGTATAGAATGCGTAACCTCACTATGTATCTATGTGCGTCGAAGATAACACTTGTTATGCGACTAACCCCCCCCCCCCCAACCATTTGTAATTAAACTAAAGTTCACATTAACTTAGAAATAAATATTGAAAGTGTGAATAATTAATGTATATTTATGAAAACAAAGCGGTCATTATTTTTTTATTTTCGTCCTCTCACTGTTCAAAACAATATCGGCTGTAAACACATTCTTCGCCAGCCAATTTTTGTTTACTCAGTCATCGCTTTGCCATATTTAAGTGCGCCCTCTATGGCAATACTATAGATAATTTCTTCATTGCATGGCCCAGTAAAATTTTGCATTTTCGCTGCATCACGGACAAAATTGTGCAGTACAAGATTTTTTCTCAGTCAGAGATTGAGCTTACATTTACTATCTGTTACTTGAGGGCTAAAACTCCAACTGATTAGAACAATTCATTCTATTAAATTGTTTTCCCCATTTTCACTATACTATACTAAAGAAACACAGCTACGAAATACGGCCACCGTGAAATGCACGCTAATATTAGTGTGCTATATGCTATCCGTATAACATGAAAATAGATTTTCAACCATTACACGTTTGAAAACATAGCAACTATATTCACGATAAGAATTTAGGAGTTAAAACTATTATTTAAATATTTTGCACACACCGACCCATGCTTGAGGCGGAGGTTCCGTGCCCAACTCCCTGTCGGGCTCCGTGCTGTACGTGGATGAACGGAAGAATAGACTGCGATGCCTGTGACAAATACGCATTGTAACCGGATCAAATGGTTGTTCAGTACTAGCGATGCCGAAAACAATCCTGGCAAGAGTGGGATTCTTCGCGATCGGCAACACGCACATTTTCTTTACTCCGATGGGCGCCTGCTTTAGAGGCGCTTCAAATCACATTTATGTATTTCACAGCACGGGTTCGTAGGGAAGGATATTTACATCGAGCTTGCAAACCACCCGATTCGGACGATGTGTAAAACTCCGATGATAATAATCAACCGCACCATAGCAGCAGTTACATTTGCATTATAATAATAGTTCATTTAGTATTATTACAATAATACAGACTTACACTATGGCATCTTACAGTGATTCAATTGAATACTTGACATCAGATTCTTCCAAGTCTATCGATGTTATCCATGCCCTGATGAATTCATTGACTTTATCGATTTTCCCTGTAAAGTGTTGAGATAAAATATATAAATAAATGAGTGATTATAATTTTTATAATAATCGTTCTTAGGCAATAATATATTATATAAATATTAAATTATAGAGTTCCATTTTAGCAATAGCATTTATAATTTAATAAAACATTTCCATTGTTGAGTGTGTTCTGCAATGATGTGTGCTGAATGTGACAAAAGGTAACAGCGCCCCCGTGGAGATATCACAGCGCGTTAGGAAAAGGTGCAAAAATTTCAACTTTTGCCTCGGTTTGTTGAAATATACATTAAGACTAACAGAATCCATTGTAGTTATATAAATCAAGTCCTCGTACAAATTTTATGTTGATTTTTGCCATTGATTTAGGTGGAATATGAAAAGTCATAGTTACGGCTAAAATTAATTTTGAAATTCACAAAACACGCACGAGGCAACCTGCTGATCACGTGGTACCAAATGTTTGTTGCCATATCAACTCTCTTAGTGATATAATCAGTAAAATCTTATAATAAAATTATTTGAACGTTTAAGTGTGAGTTCAATCATGATGTCACGTAATGTGCAAAAAACGTGATAAAATACAAAATATAAATTATGTACAACACAACTTACAATCATAGTTATGAAATCACAGCCATTTGAGAGGATAGTGTTTTTTTGTTTTTTTTTGTCTCGTAGAGCTTAAAGTAATATTTCATGAGAGGTTCTGAATATTTAGCAGCATTCGTTGATTTTATCTTTCTGTAATAAATGTACAATTATGATGAAATAAAGTAATATTTTATACATATTATTATAAAGTAATGTTTTCATACATTTGCCCTTTTATACAAGTTCATTAATGTGTTTGTATATGATATTGTTCACATGTTTAGATAACAGATCAGTGAAGTCGATCGCACCTGAGACGTTTCATCATGTTATTAAGGTTACTCTTTGTTTTCACTTTAACAACATCGCTTGTATGATGGGGACCATCTAGAGTAACTTCTTCATATGCCTTGATGCACAGTGATATACAACTATAATCATCTACATTCTATGAGATACAATAAAGATATAGTTAACTTGAGACGACGTTGAAATAAAGCAGAAGTGTAAAGCGCCATCTACGACCTAATTAGGCGAGAATCAATAAATGGCGAATAAGCAACTCGCTGTCGATAATATTAGCACTGAACGTTTTTACCTTGAATTCAACTTCACCTGTAAATAAATTCCGCAGAATTTGTTTTTGCTCATCATCACACATTTTTAAATTTTCAGGCAACACCCGAGCGCCATGATAGAGCTGGATTGCCGCTAAAACGGTAAAGTGATCTTATTTACAGTTAAGTGTCACGTGATTTAAATAACTACCAGTGATACATAAAATACTGGCAACCTTTGCTGTTGGTTTACTTTATTGTCATAACGAAGATACTTATCTCATCTGTTTGAGTCAGCTGTCATCTCTCAAATTTAACCCGACATGCCAGGAGACGTCCAAGTCACGTGGCGTTGCCTTAGATATGTTACTTCCCATAAGTAAACACAAATAGTTGTTGTAGACCTACCTGTCAACTTGTTTACGCACTGAATGTGTATATCTCCGGTCGTCACAGCCTCAGTTCTTCGACCTATTGACCCAAAACTGTTTGCTCAATTGACAATGCAATGTACACGTCATACAGGTCGTCAGTCGTCACATTACGTGAATGTGTATCAATGCTGTGTTGAGTTTCCATGACAACCACGTTCATAAGATCATATTATACAGCAATCTCACTCTGTTTATCACTGTACAGTGATTTGAACGTGTTCTTCGTTGATAATAATATACACAAATTGTTTATTTTACCATTTTAATTTAATAAAGGTTAAAAGTTAAGCCTCGGCAAAACTCCTACAATATCAGACAGGGGGAGAGGGGGTTTGGTAATTTGATACGATTTTTGATCCAAATCGAAAACTATTCAAGCAATGTAAAAATAGGCCAAGTCAGTTGTTATTTATTGATTTATTGATCTTATAGATTATCTGAGTAGTAGAAACCCTTTACAATATCTAAATCGATTGTTCGACGTTTTGATTGCCCATTCCGTGTATACATATTTATAGTGTGTGGTCAAGAAAAGTACTCCTTATATTATTATGTTTACCATATAGATTGCGTATAATTCACCCACTTTATACAGGTAGATGTGACGTCATGCTAGGGTAAAGCGTTGGAATTGATGATTGCTGCCATGAAGATTCAGTGACGTGAGAAACTAGAAGCTGTTGTTTTATTAGTCATCGCTACATATTCATAGCTGTGTTGTGATCAATGGTGATTCTGGGCACGATTAAGTATGGGAATAAGCGTCCTCTATTACTGAACATACTACCTGTATTTAAAATGGGGAAAGTGATATATATACCTATATACAAAGCTGTATACGTGTATTATACGAGTGGTGACACGGTGATCACTAGACAGTTCCATTGTTAACGGAACAATACGTGTTTGTACGCACACAGAGAAGCTATTCATAACTAAATTGTTATATGTGCTGTATAATGTCTCGTGGGGTTTGTAATTAACTTTTAACTAAACCCTTCTGCTTTATTTTTCCCAAGGACTGAATATAAGTTATACAATATCGTGTTTTAATTGTATTTTGTTTATTAAATAGCGCATGGTTTTAATATAATTACCATACACGCATTGCCTTAATTAATGTTTTCTCTTCAAATAAGTGCCCACGTAAAATTGTTCTTGGCTGAAATTATGACGACGTGTTAGAGCGAGTATAACGAGGCAACTTTATTTATACAAACAATAATGTTTGCAGCACTAGTGTACACCAGGGCAATCACACTTGAAATATAAATGAGATGATTGCCTGTGTCCTACGGTAGAGTGACGTGTCTGTTGAAATAACTGAACTGCGTTTAAAGTAATTTAAATCGAATTAATACGACGTTAGCTCGCTACAACTACATGTGCTCTGTAATGCAATCGTCAACCCGCGTAGTAGTACATAAACGGTATTATAGTTATGGTTTATCTGTGCGCAATTTGTTTTTTTCGGAACGCGTAGGCAATATTTTTTTGTTTGTTTAAGGCATTATAAGGCTGGACATTGTCTTTGAACAAGTTATACAATATTTATGATCCGTTGCCATGACTGCTATTGAGTAGATTATTGGGAAGCCAGGTGATGTGTAGCAATTGTGTTTTGTGCGTGGATGAATATCCACAGCGTGACTTCAGTGACTTGAAAACGCCCTCCACGTTTTATGACTGATATATCTATTTTACACAGTGTTTAAGTACGGTATTATGTATTTACCAGTAGATTTTGATTGACAAAATATCATTTGAAACAGAAAACAGGCATTTCCCACTCTACCGTACGTGCAGACGCGCGCGATAGTACCTTGAAGTATGTTGTTTATGCAGCGAGAGAAGAAAATGAAAGAATTGTTCATTTGGACGTACACTATCAAGTGAATGGCTGAAATAAAATAAAAAGAAATCATTTTAAGCAATCACGCTTGCCAATAGTACGTTTCAGGGCTACTGTTTTCGCCTGCAACAGAGTAAATCTAATATTTCGAATTTACATTGAACCATACCTATTCCGTAAATAAGGCTAATCTCTTGTTACGTTGATTCAACCTGGAACGCTACTGATATGAGCCTCACTGGTGAAATATTTGAATTTGATATGATTGGAACATTATACAACTTTTCTGAATAAGGTGATGTCATGACCATCCCATTTAGGTCAATAGCTTATATACCATTATGTTATCCCACGAGCCCTCAGATCGAGTCCCAAACCACATGTCAATGTATGTAATTAGGAATTGCGGATGTACTATCTTTACAAGTTCAAGTTTTAAATTCCGTGAATGTGTTATTGTTGATAAAACCATTTGAAAGCAGTTGTGGACTGGAAAGGAATATATACAGGTAAAAATCTACTTTCACTTTATTATAACCTATAATATGTAACTATATATATTCTCTTCACACGATCAATTCAAACAAATACCCATATACATATTTCAATACTACGAAGTATAATTTTTGTATTTTTGTGTCGAATGACAACGTCATAGTTGGCATATCTTTGGAACGTTTCTACATTTGTTATCCGAACTATAGCCAACAAATATAATTATATCGACTACATAAAATTTATTTATTGTTTTAACATTGAAAAATATATATATATATATTGACCTTTGTGCAATATTATTACTACAAAATCATATAAGTATACAGGACACTGATTTCTGCCGTATCACCTCTGCTTTTGGTTTACCCTGTGTACTTGGCCCGGAATTGTCCTTTCGTTTTGGTGGCGGGGGCATTTGTTTATTGATCGGTGGGGGAGATTTTGAAGAAGTGACATTCGATTTTTCCTTTCCTTCTGACGAAAGAGGAGAAGAAGCAGGTGGGACTGCTTTATCTGACATTGGTTCATTTGAAACTCTGTCGTCCGTGGGAGTATTAGACTGTTGTGATTCACTGATTGGCTCCGTTCCTTCCCCATCTTCCTCTCCATTATCGATTATTTCTAGATGAATTTCCACTCCATAACCATCAATCTGTTGTTTTAATTCTTCAAATTTGTCGTTGTCAAACTTCTGACTATTGTTATTAGTAAAATCTATGTACAGTAATTGAGCAAATGGCATACTCATTGGACCCTCTGGAGGCCACTCCATACTCTCCAATAATATTGGTATCATTGGTTTCTTCAACGTATCTGCTAAGCTCACTTCACGTCGACAGTTTGTTGACAGTGCATATTTCGGTGTACAACTAGACACTATTACCTGTAATTAATGCAAGGCAGTTAATTGATGTGCATAAATATTATCAAATAGACAATAACGCAACGTAAGGTACGGTTGTCCAAGAGTTGACACTATTTACCTTAGCTTTCCTAATTCCTCGGTCAATTTTTCCATATAAAGCATCACCTCCTCCCATTTGCATAATATCTAACCAACAAGTATACCCTAATGACGTCAGCTTTGAGTAGAGATTCTTGATCTGTGGCTGGACACCCCATTGGTATGAAATGAACACATCAGGATCCTCTATATTCTGAAAAATACGATTAGTCCAGTTAGGTTTGATGTTATTAAACGATGTGTTTTATTATCTATAAGCCTACTATTGACGGGCAGGAAATTAAAATCTATTCTTACCTCCTCATTATGAGGGCTGTCTTCTTTCGTCTCCGTCTGTTGCTTCTTTTTCGGTTTAACGATCGGGGTGTCATCAACTTGTGGAACGTAGTTCTTATATTCTGATGAATACAATTGGATAATTGGCATTTGATATACCATTCACGTATATTGTTTGATCTAACATGCACTTATGTGCGTTCTTGTACGGCGTGGACAAATTAGACAATGTTTCCATTAAAAAGGAATCAACAACTGCCTCATTTGACAGAATACGTTGATAGAGATAAAAAACAAAACATTGATACTACATCGCTTACCATCTGATATCTTTTCTGGATCTGGTGCAGCGTGGTAATTTATTTGTCCCAGTAATTCAGCAAATGTCGAATCAGACCAGAATTTCTCTCCTTTCCTGTATTCTTTTTCGGGACAGAATTTAATATACAACAGTTGGGAGAAGAGTACGCTCATTGGTCCAGGTGGAGGCCAATCAATTTCCTCCAATAATAACGGTATGATTGGTTTGTTCAGTAAACTTGCGAGGTTTATCTGAAACAAAATGTAACCACGTCATCTGATCTAATCTTCGGCTGTATGCAATTACGTTATGTAAAATAATGATGGAATCGTGTTACCGGAGCAAACTGAGAACGACTATTGACCATACTAGATACGCTGACAGCTAAACAATGTTTACACATACCTCGTGATTGCAGTTTTTAGATTGTGAATACTTCTCAGAACACATTGATAAAACTATTTTAGCTCCTCTAAGTCCTTCATCTATTTTTTCATAAAGTTTATCGCCTCCACCCATTTGTCCAATATCCATCCAACATTCATATCCAGCCATCTCTAAATGTTCTTTTAATGTTTTCACCTCTGATTGGTGGTCCCATTGGTAACTTATGAACACTGGAGGAGGATGTGTGAAGTCTGGAGGGGCTTCAGGTATTACTTCATCTGTTGAGAAATGCATGAATCATTGAGCCTACATTCGCCACGTAGCTATTATTTTTGGTAACGGTATTGTTTGAGACATTGCAATTTGCATACCTGCAGCTTTGAGAGCATCTTCAATAATCGTAACACAATCGTTTCTTCCAAGTTCTTTCAGCGACGTCAATACGGCATAGGTTGCTTCACTGCTTTTATGCATGGTGTACCACTCACTGCAAACAAGATGAACATCGCTTTTATGTATGCTAATTTGTTTGATGAAGTAGTTAACAAATCAGCGACACTAAAATGTAATTCTGGTAGGTTCATTATTGCAACTTTATCCGTATTCACAATTGATTGTTTTGGTATAAAGTGAATGTAATTGATTTTATTGCTACCCCGTCACCCGTAAATTGATGCAAACGCTCACCTTAATAACGACATAGTTGGATCATGCGCAGTGGCCCAATTTCTAACATCTTCCGAACTGTATCCAAGGCGTATTGCCAGGAAACGCCAGTCATGATCACTTTCTTCGTTCAGTAGTTTTGACACATCTCTGGACCACGCAGGCGCGTTACTGATAGTCTGCAAGTAAATTTATTTCAGACAGAACACACGCGGAAATGAATGATTATACGACGTGTAAGTTTATTAGGTTTAAGTAAAAGAGTGTATACAAGTATAACCTGAAAGACCATGTTACATCTTTAAAACGATCTTTATTATTACTAAAATGTTATAAAAATGAATACCAATGAGTCAAAATATCAGGTAATATAGTCTGAAATTATTTTCACTCGCTTTGTGTGTGGCGATACATTCTTGATATTGATATTGATAGTTTTTACTAATTTATATTTTATCACTCATATTATAAGTACACAATTTTCCATTTTCATCATAAAATTTTACAATTGCTGGAAAAGCCAAAAAAGCACGACAACGCGCGTTATCGTCCCGCATTTTCTGAACAACATGCATCATCTTATTTCTTTGCATTCTAATGTCTGTTGGATAATCTGCATTTACGAACACATGTCGTCCTTTATATGGGTTATTTTTCAGCCTTCTTGCAGCCTGGTAGAGTATTGTCTTTTTATCACCGTTACTCATTAATCTGGCCAGCACTGGACGCGGTCTTTCATAATTCATCACTACCGGGGCATATTTTGGAACACGATGGGCATATTCTACGTCGTACTTTATGTTGATTCCCATATGATTCGCGATAAAACGCTCGATAAACGCAGTACATTGCCGTCCTTCAGATTCCTCAGCTATATTAAAGAACATCACATTGTTACATCTAAGGCGCGAGTCTAGATATTCACATTTGTTTCTGAGCAGGGTTATTTCACGCATCATTTTCAAATCTTTTTCTTCACTGCGTGCACGTGTCATATGTGCACGGGCTCTCAGTTTACAATATGCATCTTCAGCTGTTTTTAAAGTCTGCAATACAATTGGTCTACGCATCACATATTCTGTTTCCTTGTTTTGACCATCTGCGCCATGTGTTTTGAAATGATTTACCTATTCATATTGTTTCACGTTTTCTGATCTATAATCAATCGTGCATCAATCAATAATATGCATGTTATAATCCTCACCTTTCGATCGATTTCTTCCACTTTCTCAACTGTTTCGTCTACGACTTCTTCCAGCTCATCGAGTCGTTCTCCTTGTTCAGTAACTTCCTCTTTTATGTCGCTTATTTCCTGCTCTTGGTTATCAACCTTCTCATCTAAATCTGCTACATTCTGTTCCGTTGTCGTAACACGTTCATCCAGTTCATCCACATCTTCCTTCACATCGGCAACTTGTTCAGTAACTGCCTTCAAGCTACACGGTACATAAATGAAAACAATGTCTTTAATCTCCGTACGTATTATAGCAGAATACGTTTTTTTAAAGCGGGGGAGTGGTCACCTGCGCATGCGTCAGTTGACCATAGCGTGTCATTGTTTACCAACAAGCGTCTACCCATTAGCCTTTGCATCTTTAGCGTGTGTTGTTATCATCGCTTGGGAGCCTATTCCCTCGCGTGCACAGGTCACGACCCTCCCGCTTTAAATAAATCTAGATTGCCATTGTGAGATTTGTATTCCCATGGCCTCGCTGTACTAATAGCAAACAACACACATATGTCTTATACTGATATACGAAAATATGTTACTTCATTGCGCAGCTGGTATTTACAAATATAATTGCACAAATGTGTTCATAGTCAAAGGAATATAGGTTTGTGAAACTCCTTTACACGAATGATACTAAAGCAAATGGTCAGGAAAAAAAGTATCAGTTACTTCAAGATGGTGTACAATGCGCGATCATAATGCTTTTACATAACGTTTGATTTGAATGTAATTTTGTATATACATTACCGTACAGTACAATTAGTCAAAATAAATTCATAAGGCCAACATAGTGATACAGGCGACTACAACAACGACTAAAATGTCGCCACCTACTAATAATATGAGGTTATTACGAAGATAACTCAAAGTATGCACGAAGACAGTACACGCGGAGGTCGATGCGACGACGTATTGTCTGAGTGCATACTTTGAGGTATCTTCGTAATGACCTCATTATTATAGGTATCTTCGTAATGACCTCATTATTATATATCTTTTTCATCCAAGGATACATAATGGGAATGCCGAAATCCGAAAAGTTTAGAACAGAATCAGCGAACTTTTTTGTGTGGAGTCCGGTCAAACCCTGGTGGCAGCCATGTTTGTTTTTATTATTAGAAGGCGCTTACGCACGTAATCATTCCATATTTGGAATTCGCATTTCCGTATATGGTAGGATGAACATACCCCCGTAAAATACGACACGCTGTAACCTATGGCGTTACGGTGACAGATGTATAATAAAGCTTAATATCCTTTTGGAAGTCTCTTCCATGATGGGACCAAAAACGTAAATTTATATGCGTTGTAAGTATACTCACCTCCGTCCCTCTAAGACATCAATTATCTTATCAATAACATCATTTATTGAAGGTGCACTATCTCGCAGAGATTCGATCAGCTCTCTGTTCTCTCGAAGTAGATAAATGTACTTTCTCTCAGCTATTTGCTTCATACATGCGAGAATTGTATACAGATATACAGTATGTCGCCCATCTTTCAATAATTCTACGAAGATTCCTGTTATTTTCACTGCCATTTCCTGTTAGATGAAACAAACACACTGCATAATTGAATTCCACTTTAAAAATAATTACGCTGCGATTACTGATGACGTAACATCAGTTTAATATTATCAATATATTTGATAAGTATATGTCATAGCTACCTCATTTAGCATCCCAATGTTAGCCAGGATAGTAATAATATGATAAATAAAGTTAGGTTGGTTATCTGCAATTTCAACAAATTCGTCAACGTGTTCCACGAACTCTTTGGGTTCGTGGTTAGATAGTGATGACAATACCATCAATCCATATGCCATGAAGCTGGTATCTGGCAACCCTTCTAAGAAATAGTCCTTGTACGGCATAACTCTCTGTTAAAATAGAATACATATATTACATTAGCCGATAAATTATGTATCGCATATTAGGCAGGTCATTCTGTGGCATGTAAAAGAATGATTAAATCTATTGACATGAGGCGCATTATGTTAACTTCACAGTTCGAGTCGTGTTATTTAGCGTATACGATTTCAATATTCCAGTGCAGTGTTATGAAGCAACGTAAGCTTTCTAGGTATCGCCATACTGAGTAATAACAATTCCAACAATTGCATTCGTTCATAAACTTTTGACATCATAGCTTAATGTCACTAAATATGCCAGTATTTCATGATGTTAATGTTCTGACACACTACTGTTTTTAAATTATCATTAATAATTATATTAATTCGGATAATTCTGGTAGTTTCGAATGTCGACTAAAACGAGTGTGTGATATAAAGCTGCATATATTTGAGAGGTTACTACACATTTTGCAAACTTCAATTATATGCCTACATAATGAGATGTATAGTGATTATTTTTTAAGGAATGTGAGACGACCACGGTTTTAATTGACTCTATATTTACATCAGTAATTATATTACCAATACTTCTCGATGGTAATATGTGTTCATAAACGTCGATATTTTTTGTTAATGAACCAGAACGCTTTATGTTGGAATACACGCTCACAAATGTCAATAAAAGCGTTAATTGACCTTTAGAAGCCACGAAGACATACATAGGATAACAGCATATGAAATGTTGTGACCCGTCAATATCAGAATTATTACTCTTGTGCAGTGACACTTTTTGTTCTCTTTCGATGGCTCAAAGCAAATACAAAATTGTACACATATTAAATATAAAACTATAAAAGAATTTATTGGAAAATAAAAAGTGTTCTCACTTCAGGGTATTTCTTCGCTACTTCGTCAATTAATTGCAATAGATAGAAACTATTATTTCCTGAAAGATCTTCACGTTTCTCCATAAGATCGTCAAATCTTTTCATAACGCCCTCTTCGTCTTGTGAAAAGCATCCTTTCAACGGAGCTGCAACGAAAAAATAAACAAGTTATATAGACATTCTCCGTATTATAATAGCAGTAATGCGAGACAAATGCACATCGCCTAACTTACATAGTGCCATATATTGGTCGTGATGAACCACTGCGTCGACCAATTCATTGATGTATGGCGCGAATAATTCTGCGTTGGTGACAGAGTAAAACGCACGGCCAGCACCATCTTGCAGCTCTTCCACGTCGCAGGAGAGTAACTTGACCAGATACGGGATGAATGGATCTAAATGTTTGGAGTTACCCTAGCAAAGAATTACAAATCCGTTGTCAACAATACGATAGATATTTCACGCGACATCCGTGATTGTGTTAACAAATCAACGGTATTAATACATTCAAGTTAATACTTACTGCAGTAAATATTCCGTGTAAAATCCATCTTATCATTTCACCCCAAACAGACAACTTTTGATAACCAGTTTGATCAAGTTCGTGTGTCATTGCGAAATCGATGATACCCAATAAGTACTCTTTATGTTTGTGTAGTGTATTTGATTCTCTGTAATATGTAACATTCGTAGTACAAGTCAATTATACGTATATAATGTCCTATTAAATTAGGCATATGTATGCGTAAACATCCAAATGCATACATTCACGAATCAACAAATGACTAACAGCTCAACTACTATGCAAGACGAATGTGTTTTATGGTAAATTATTTACAAGTTAAACATTATGTCTTTCACCGGTTCATTACCATATTTTGCAACTTTGCGTCAATACGAGATCACAAATGTAACACCTTTTTAATTATGCTGAAATTAAGTTTGTATTGACCGCTATACTGACCCTACATGTCTAGTAGTCCAGTCAATTGTATACTGTAACATTTTACTTTGATCGGAACAATCTTCGTCTATTTCATAACCATCTTTCTTTATTAGTTCTTCGTATGCTTTGAATACCGCTGACACTTTCTTGTCTTGTCCCTAAACAAATAATATAACGATTAATTTAATAGCTTGATATATGGCATATTATTTTCATCTTATTTTGTATCTGATAAATATGTCCACATAACATGAGAAATACGTTATACTACTGTTAAATCTATATATTTCTACACAAGTTCTTACCTGAAATTTGATCTGCGGAACAATTTCACCACCAATCGAATAGTGTATGGGGTGGTCACGTATAATGCAGTACTCCAACAAGTCTAACAGATTCCCGGAGACTTTCTTGAGTATGTTGTGATTTCTGAAAACCGCAATGAGATCATTAATGTAACAGTCATTTTTAACGTATATTACTCCACCTAATTGTGGAGGCGAAAATTCAAGCATGGTGAGGTTGGTAACGCTCATACTCACACTGTCACAACGTTTAATAAGCTCTTTGATATATACTTATGAACAAATACACATAGATGACCACTTGAGGTGTCTGATGTAACCCACGGGTTACCCAGTATTTGATTAGGACTCAGATTGATATATGGTTCTATCCAAAGCACATGGCATCACTCGTGATCCGGGTATCCATCCTGCGTTTTCACGTACCTTCGTGAAATAGGCCGCAGGTTACGCGGAATCACTCGTTAAAATAATGTCCATACCCCGAAACGCCAGGGCAAGGTCATTGGGCTATCTATGTCATATTACTTTTCATGGTCATTACAACATTTTTTATTTAATGAAATTGTAAACTTACTCAAACAAATCCACTAATTTGTCAACAACATCGGAGTAACTCGACGCATGGTCGCGTTTATCACTTGTCTTAAGCACTTCCGGCGGAAACTCGATTGGTACCATCCACATTGATATTATTTTGTTGGCACTGTCCACATTTTTCTATTAACAAAACAGAGCTACAACTTACAAACACTAGCACCACTAAAGGGTTATTCTTATATACACCCGATTTAGGAATCTCCTGAATATGTTTTTTTTGTTTGCCCAAAGAGTAAATACAATTTAATTTAATAGTATTAAATTTGTACAATGATAACAATGAAATACATTCAAGCTCTGCTTCTCATGACAAAATAAACAAAACTAGGTAACTGGTTTAAATTTCTTGAACTCATAAGGAAGATAAATTTGTTGTAAGTGAGGGTCAGTGCAACACCACACAAGCAAGAATTTTGCTCTAATACACTGATTATTATAAAATATAAAGACCTCAGAGGCCCAATCAAATTTTACGTACATACCTTCCACATGACGGCTTCCGACTCGTAGCATATGTCTTTGATAACTCTCATGTGTTGTGTAGTCATTCTTTCCATACATACCATTATTATATCTATGAATTGTTTGGAATATTTTCCTTTGCTACAAAATAAATTCAATGTTTTGTAAATCCAATCAGGTTGTGACATACAATTTACAAACTGTATTCTCTTATAAACTTTAAGATTAGTAGTACGATGTTATTGACAATGTACTTCCGGGTCATTACACATATACAGGGAGTTTAATACTAGTAGATTATATGAGCAATACAAATAATCGAAGTTCCACTGAAACTGACATTGTCATTATCCGCGGATAATTAAACATTTGCCTGTGTTACCTTCCTTTTGCTGCCTTTACGTAGACATCATCAACGAAATCATTCATAACATATGCTTTGGTCTTAGACTTTTTTAGGTCTTCAGGCTTGCACTCCCGCAAGGTATTAACAATGAGGTCGTTTCTTTCCGCAATAAAGTCTCCCGTATTCTGTGTTAGTATATACAGCAGCACGAATAATTATAATAAAATATACCAGTATATTAGTGTCGTCAACTGCGATTTTTTTTAAATATGAAAGGCGCGGTTAAATAGAGCATAATGCAACGTTAACATGAATTGCGCTACGAAAAATTGTACTACTAACATTATGAACAATGTGATATATAGGAAGCATTGGAAAATTGAAGGGAACTTTTCCTGAAAGTGTAAACGACTGTCGTCTCGACCGTCGAAAAAATTGATCGTGCTTGCGCAATGTAACGGTGAGCCAGAAAATTGTCTATGTATTGGTCACTAAATGAATTTTTTTTTTAAGGCATACAATCTATGTAATCGAAAAGAATTAACATTTACAAACGAGTGTAGTAGGAATATGGCATGTTGGAATTCATGCTACCCTCTTGCTGTAATTCAAATTGTGAAATGAAATATTTTATTTTCAATCTATAAGTGTTCAGAACGTTTCCTTGATTGTGGGTTTTGTGTTGTTCTATGACAAAATGAAAATTATTTTGATATATGTTAGTAATAATCCCGGCCCAAGTCGGATATACCACTCGATGTTTCACAGATTAAATCGCTTCATATATGCTATACAGCGTGTAGATATTTACAATATCTTGTGGTATGCCCGCGTAGGGGTTGTGTCCCGGAATCATTGTGCTGTGCTGTCCAATAGTATCCCTAGATTTGATATAGCACCCTCAGTTCCTTTTGTATTAGTTAGGGTCATATGAAAGTTCTAGTCAGCAGGCATGTTTATCAACCTGCTAGAACGCATTGTAGAATCAGCGATGTAAGCTTATTTTCATTATCGATGTTTATTTGATGTTTCAATCGTCTCTAATTCTAGTTAGATTTTTTATCGAATTTACTGTCGTTTTAGATATATTTGAACTGCCCACATGTAACGCTATATAAATGTATGCAGACTGCCATGTTTATTGACAGTGTACTTTCTACGCTTTCCCCTTTGTAGTTTCAACTATACTAAAGCACTTGAGGGTGGTTATGTTTAGAGTGGTTAACACTAGTACGGATATATACGCATCACAGAACAGTCTAATTATAACCGTTACATCTGCGTATCGAAAAGATGTAGACCTTGTATTTTTATCTGGGGGGCAAGGGGGGTAGCTGGTGCAGGTTACAGGAAATAAAAAAAAAGCATTTTACGTTATTACAGGAAATAAAATACAAGTTCCATTTACAGTTAAAATTTGTGTTTTACACTTTACAGATAAAGTAAATTCTTAATAACATTATTTATTTCTATAATATATTTGATAATTTGTGTTTAAGAAACAAAATTGGAAATTGCGCACGAATTGCAACATTTAATGTGGAAAGTGCTTTATACGCTTACAAAAAATAAGATCTTTGTAAAAATTACGGACGAATAAAATAGCTGATTACATTTTACACCTTGCCCATGTCTACGAAATTACGTTTTTTAATTTATTTAAATTACATTATTACGAAAATAGAAACAATTGGTTACAGCTTACGAAAATACCCCTTGCCGACCCTCGTTTATATCATCACACTTATTATTTTGCGCACACATGCTTACCTTATGAATGTACTCCCTGCCATAGCAAATGATCTGTTCACATAATGTAAAACATTCTGGTTTGTCTGTCTCGTAGAGCTTGAAAAAGTATTGCATAATGCATTCTGCAAATTGTTCTGGATTGGAAGATGAAGTTTCACTAGAAATAAATAAATATATCAATCACTAGATGAAACGTATTTGAAATCTAAATTATAGAGACATTAACCGTGTTGTTCAGTGTTCTGTCATGAATTTGTTTTCGCGTATCTGTTAATCGACTTAATTAGCTGATAATTAGCGAATTGCTGTGTTATGTCTGTCATCGTTTAGGCCTATTTGAAGTTTTGGACGGAAATTAGCTCAGTGATTTGGAACTAATTACGAGATAACCGTCGCTATTCGGACTACTAATTCTGACAGTTGGTATTCGTAGTTATTAATGTAGTGAACGATTAATCAAAAGATATGACGTATTCAGTACTTAGTGTGATTGGCTTTATGATTGAAGGTTACGCCCTAGAGTCTTTTTACTGCATTGTAATTGGTTAGAGTTTTGAAAATGAATAAAGAGAGTTTGAGTTGGTCTTGGCAAGTACTCCACGATAGACGCAGTCTAAGAGTCCAGTCCTAAAGAGTCTTGACACAGTCTTGGACAGAGTCTTGGGTCAGCCTTGCGATAGTTTTGGGGATTTTTCCCCAGGGCGCTGTGTCTTATAGAGTGCTCGACTGACTGACTAAGACGAGAGTTGAAACGTATTTTGTTGTGTGTGTCTTATTTGACTGTAAAGCTTAAGTGACATTCCTGATCCCGTACCTCAAGGGGACGCGATAGAGAGACGAGACGAGATTCCCCCCTGACAAGTGTGGAGAACCCGAGAGTAGAAGAATTTATCCCCTGATAGTTCAGTATGAAATAGCTTTCATAATTTCACCTAAATGTACCCACCCTAGTCCTGTTAACAAGCTCCTTATGTTGGAGTAACAGCGTGATGCTATATCTTTGTCTTGTGGGTATGCTTCATCCAATGTTACGGTCTCGAACGCCTTGATACATGTCGGGATAAAACTGTAATCGTCCAAGTCCTGTACATATTAATGTAAAACCATCAAAATACATACGATACAATTGATATGTTTATTCATGTCGGACGGCCTTATTATATAGTTCCTACTACATTGTTCACAACAAGATAACGCTGTACACGAAATGCCAAGTATGTCTGTAGTTATGAACAAGTTTGCGAACACATCACAATCACACACAAACATGCTCACAATATTGTAAATAGCGGATCGAAACCCATGACCAATCGCTGCCATCGCATAAGAAACGTGAATAATTAAAATCAAATATCGCATAACGCTCCCTTTACCCCTTTAGGCGTTTTGAACAACAGTAAAATAAATATACTCCTTTTGTAGATTTCTCTTAATTAAAATATTGCAAGAAACCAGATTTATGTTATACGAACATAAAGTCAGTGGTCAAAAAGATATGTGCACTACGGTCTATTGTGGTAATTTGAAGACTGTATACGCTTTCTATCACACTTACACTGTAAGTCTGCATGAGCGTAGGCAAGCCTAAATACTAGTAGGTTTCGATTGTATACAGCGCCACCAGTGGCTGTTCCCGGTTCCATGCGTTCAGAACACTCAAAAGAATAAAAGGTGATATGTGATATGTAATACCGATTATTCACGATGGCCGCGATTGGAGACGAATTGATCGATGTGTGTTCTCAACTTACCGCGAAACTTGGACAATCTCTTTCAAACAGTTTCTGTAATATTTCTTTCTGTTTTTCGCCATACTTGTCTAACTCATCATCGGGTACACCCCGTGCCATGTTTACATGCTGTAAAGGAGCAAAAATTAAGGTTCTTTATTTGTAAAACTAATGTTATAATGAAAATTATTATAACAGTATTTCAATTCCCTTTATACCACGGTTTCCGTAATTCAAATCCATATATACCACGGTTTCCCATGTGTGTAGAGGTAGGCCCAAACATGAATAAAACACAAAAGTGTTGAATTTCTTTGTCAATGGAAATCGGCTAAAATAATATTTGTGCGCTACAGGCGTAGCGGATAACAATGCTACCCGGGTATTTCGAGTTCAAAAGAGAAGCATGAGAAAAATAGGAATTCTTTCAATCTTCAAAACGCAATCAGGCTTACGGTGCCAATTGGCGTCTCTATTATTTGAAATGATGTCGATTGAGATACATAAACAGACTGAGGCTGCCGCCATCAGAAACTACACGAATACACCGCACAACGACAAAATTTTCGTGCCGCTCGGTGTAACTAAAATTAACAGGGTTGCAATTACAACAACGTTTCAGATGCTGTATCACTTTTTAACATAGTCATTAAAGGCATTTCTGTGTCTCGATTTTGACCAGTTCAATCCACATACACACTCGTTATACTAGCTCGTAAGCACATGTAGTGAAACTTGTCAAAATCTCGTGATATACCTGCCCCTGATGAGTAGTTATTTCTTTACTACCAATATATACGGTACACGGAATTTATGACGGAGAATGACACGCCGTGATGGTATATGAATTGTTTGCATGACGCCGTGGCCTCGCTGGCAACGACAAAATCAGTTATGAAACGGGAGCGTATCGATATTGAAAAGCTAAATATTCGTTATATTGACCCTTTCATTTTACATGAAATGGACATACCGACAATATAACAACAAATAATCACCCACCCACGTTGAGGAACGTAAGGCTGTCTTGTAATTGAATAAGCCAAAGGAAGCGGAAGTGACGTCTTGCGATCAACCGAACACCATATTTTATCTCTTCATATATCCGTAAGGCGATCTACATGTAAAAGTGAAAGTAAAATTATAAAGACTGTACAATGCTTAGTATTGTCCATATTCAATGTATTCACCCTGTGCGCTGTGACACCAATGGAATATACCGTGTGTTGCACTCTATTCCCGAATTCATTGTCGTGTGAATCATTATATATATTATGTATATCCAAATAACGTGTAATCTGCCATATCAGTAATATTTCTAAATAAACCAACTCACCTATTCCGTCTTACTCGATATAGCGATAGCTCGAACCAAACGCTGTGGAGCGAGAAGCCTCCGCTTATGGGGTCATGGGATAGACTTTGTGGTTGCGTTAAATCACCTTGACACGACCTCGTTATGGTGGTGATACCTGCATTGAAAGCCATGTGTCACGTGACATCAATGTTATGCTTGGTTACCAAGGCTACAAGCACACGCGTCAGTCAATACACGTGGCTTTTTTTACTAACTGCCCTAGTATAAATGTTTGCTCAACATAATTGCACTCTATTCGACGCAAAACATAATCTAAGGCGTGATACATACATATACCCGCTGCACGCTAATCATAACTTGAGGTCGCTATAACACAGATCTGTTAACGCCAAAATCAACAATGACGCTCATTGCCTAGCTTAATATAATAGTGCATTCATTGACTACGTGAACCACCTCCATTCAGGAACATTTGATTTACACTGAAAATATATGCAGTTCGACAATTCAATAATGACCCCGACTGTATTTCTAATTAAATGAGTCAAAATACAGCAGTGTATTGGTACAACATATTGACTCAAAAGAAAGTCAGAGCCGAAGATTATTATAAATATACTCTAAATACTCTAAATGTTAGAAGCCAGATCGCCGCCCAGTGTTTATAAACACGCGCCACCCGTTTGTCGACAGGTCTCTATTGACACAATAGTATACTGACTGTACCATTGATAAGCATCAAATTATTGTTTCAGTAAATCAACAAAAAACAAAAAATTGCACGCTGCTCGTGTTGAACTGCCGATTTGAATCGACTTCCGCTGTATATATATATGTACGAAGATCTTCGTATGACTTTACGTCATTCGGGGTCATATTTTAAAACCAAGGTCATCTAAAAACAGAACTATGACATAGCACATGTAAGTCAAATATTACAAAGAATTGAAGTGGGTTTAGTGGATGTACCCTACTTAATATTAGTTTAGTTTGACCTATGAACACGGATGATTTTTGAGATAAACACACCGAAGTCCAGGATTCGTGAAAATGCCAAATCACGAATTTATTTCCGAAATAAATACAACTTGTTTAGCATACAACTGACAATCATTTACGAGCACAATACAGATATGATACTATCACGCAAACATAATTAATGTGTATATCAACACAAAAGAGGAAATACATGCACTCGCTAGTCAGGTGATCCGCAACGACACGATACGATACCAGGTTTTCACGATACAAAACACAATCTCATTTATAACGAGAGGTGCTAGTACATTACCTCTATCTGGTATAACTAATGGAAGGTGAATTAAGGAATAAGAACCTTATGGATATCATTGTCTGCCGTTGGTGTCACGGTAAAGACACTATTGACACAGAATGCCATAAGGAAGTGACATCAGTCTACGTTACTTTTCTCTGGACTTTCCTCCAGGTTTGAACACATATATATATATATGGCATACTAGTATTTATGGCGATTTAGTCACTTAGTCAATTTCTTAAGATGCATTCCGAATTATTTTGTAGCTGTTGTGGTGCGGGGTATTAAACCAAATTTTGTCGTATACGCGCCAAACAAGTTACAAAGTAATTTGTAATGGTAACGAGTATGAAAAGTACGATAATGTTCTAACTACGTTTGGGCCACTACGATTTACTGTGTCTTGTATTCCTGACTATCGAGATCTTTATGGCTGCTTATTTGTATAACCATTTCAAGGTTTGAACGCCTGTGGGCGCACTGCAAGTGGTGTTGTTTTTGAATGATCACCGAGGATTAACTTCATGAATTAATTTGGTTCGCCGAAAGTTTCATGACGTCACAAATTCGTCCAGGAGCGTGGCATAACTTGGTGTAACACTCGAATGAGAAGGCTTATTGTAGAGCTTGCTGATGAACTGAATGATTGTCCCTTGAAGCCTGACGTTCATGAAATATCGAGTAAGCGCCGCTGTCGTACTGTTGTACACATACAATTGTAATTCACTTTTGATTTTTTTTCTCAAAGTACCAGGAATTGAAAAACCACACTACCCATAATAATATTGATGTGTACATGTCCTGCTCTTGTGTCTAGCAAACTATATGTACAAACTGTTCCCTGTACATTTTCTACTGTAATAAAAACATAATATGACCTTACATTGCTGTGTATTATATTTTCTTTCACCGTCATACTTTCTTTAAAATAAAGATTCATTTCTTCCAACTAAACAGACAGAAAATGTCAGATACCAGCTGCAACGATAGCCATTTCACTGGTAAATGATTTCATGGACAAAGTTTGAATATGGGCATACATCTGAAGTTTGTATCCACCCTATCGCTCTCTCAACATGCATTCTGATTTTTCACGCCTCTAGTATTTTCGTTTCGTTAAACCTCATCCCCCTTTTCTGATTTCGAGATTTTTAGGATGCTTATGATGACGTGGCAGTGTTCCTCCTATGTGACTTGTTCGTCATACAATATCTCACGCGACAAAGTTCAACTCTCGCGGGATTAGACAGTCGTAGTCCAGACTGGTTCCCTTGATGATAATGTCGTATTTTGATTCAAATGTGTAGCATAGAAGAAGGTAATCTCAGGCATGATTTGTGTATTTAAATTTATTCAAATGAGATATGTCAATGTAAAATACAATTGGTTGGGTTACGTAAGTGAGCCTTCCTCGCGTGTTTAGCTGTACGTGTACATAAGTTAATTTAAATTGTTTTAATACAACTATTAATCCATAGAGCAGGTGCCTTACAGTGGTCTGAACCTTGTTATTTTTTCCAATTCAAAACAAAATTGCTCAGCTAATGCCAGAAATATCGAGACCTAATAATATAACCATAGGCATGATTGTTTCAAATTTGTCAATGTAATTTCAATTCGTCACATTTTGTTCAATTAGATATTGTCCCCAAAGATTAGCTTCTAAGACTATTATTAACTTTTCTAGCTTAATCACAAATTTTGTTCAATTCAATTTATGGCAAGATCACGAGGAATCACGATGCAAAACCATCTCTCTCTTTTTTCTTGAGACTGTAAATGTCAGTGACTTGTGAACCATATATATTTATAAAAATAAATGAAAATTCAAAATTATAAGTTGCAGTACTAGAAGCAACACCACAGAGTGGAGTTCTAATTCGCAAGGTCACATGGTTACCACCACATACTGTTTTATTTTATAATGGGATCAATGGCCATATGAACCTGCATATCTAAAATGAGAACAAAGTTCCAGTTACCCCGTGATAATTCGCTACTCATTACAACGAGGATTCTGTGATTGTTCACGTGCAATGTGGACATGATCAACACACGGAGACGACAATCTGACGTCCACTAAAACTGGACGCCGTTCTCCTGACTAGGAATTCCACAAGCTCGGCAAATGTGCAACATGTACTATTTTTATTACTGCTGAGGGAGCAGTCAATCACCCAGGAATTGAACACACAATCCCCTGACGCAGGACGAACCAGCTAAACAGTACGCCACACATTATGTTAGTTGTCGCGCCGCGCATGCGCGAGCTATTGGGTCTCATATAAACAAAGAAGGCGATTTTGACTGTTGCGCACACCAACTAGTACACACTTAGAGGTTACCAAGCTTTAATGAGATATATTGTTTGGTGTTTGGAAGGTATCAAAGGAGTAGCCGGTGATGATGCGTGCAAGTGGCGCCCAGGGCAAAACTCGTACTAGTGAGTTCGATAGAAAAGCGAATTGCATTATGGGAATATTGATGTTTATTAACACTAATGTCGCACACTTCGGCAACCATTATCACATGTAGTCCAGCACCGTGACACACAACCCTTGAATTGATGGATTTATTATGGTACAGTTATATTAATATTAAAGGGTGGTGGTCGTCGCGCCGCGCATGTGCGACATTTGTGTTCTAATGGAAATCACAAGTTTATAAGGTTTGACCTGGGCGCGATTGGCACTAATTACCGCCGGTGACTCCTTCGATACCTTCCAATCACCTAAAAAAATACCTAATTAAAGCTTGGTAATGTCTCATTTCGTACTCGTTGGTCTGCAAAACAGCTAAGATCGCCATCTTTGTTTATATGAGACCCATATTTATCGCGCATGCGTGACGCAACGACTACCGCCCTTTAATATAAAGTGCACCTTACCTACTCCCTTTACTAAAAATAAGCTATGAAAACTTGACTTACATTATGAAAAATAGTAAGGGTCGTCTCTTGGTTAAGTTGTGGTCACTTGGTAGGTTTGAAGTCAAATGGAAGTCGTCATAACGTTTATTTGACACACACAAACGACAAGCGCTCGCTCGCACACGCACACACAATACGCACACGCACACACTCTTGTTCGTATGCTCGGGCACTTAGTTCAGGCACTGCCGCACGTGATACCGATCGACCAATGAGAATGCGTATATTTTAATTTAATTTGATTTCATAATTGTTAAAGTCTATTTCACCAATTTTTCGAGAATTTTCTGTTTCTATTTTGTACGGATAAAAAATGACCCTAACGAGCATGGCCACCTCCTTGTCTGAGCCAGTAAAATGATCACTCCACATCTTAGCTGATCTGAGAAATGTTAGTTTATGTCTGGTCTTTCACTAAAATTTGTCTCTTTTTAAGAACTGAGGAGAAAGTTGTACTCGCACGTTCCACATGGGAAAACAACGTTGGTCTGGTCAGAAACTTCCCAGTTAACAAGGAAATTTGGATATTTTGCAACAATGAAACTGACCGATACTGGAGAAAAGGTGTGAGCATAGAGTGAGGTACTCCATGGGGTGAGAAACTGAAAACAAACGTCATACTTGGAACAATAGAGAAGAGACATGCTAAATGCACGTACAAAACTAAACAAAACGAATGATACACAAACTGTGATTGGCCAGATGATGTGTTTCGTTGCTTTCATTCACATTCTTTGTCTTGATTGAGTGAGCGAAAGATTTGTGCATATTAGTAAGATTATTATTACCATGGACTACCATATTGCTTAAATATAGATTTATTCGTCGCAGTAACCATGTCAACCATATTTGCCTCCACTAATATACAATTTATATTAATATTGTGATGGAGAAGATATCACCATTTCATTCCCTGAATAGTTAAGAATTACTAGTATTCAACTAATTTGAATATAAAAAAGGCGAGCGATAGCAGATGAATGGGCAGTGTATTTAAACTTTTTTGACAATGCACAGACATTACCAAGACCCAATCGGGCTGAAGTCTACTTTACGTTGTCACAGTTTTGAGAAGCAGTATTCATGGCGTACACACGAAGAGTTGATATCGCTGATCGTTGTACAGCCTGGAAACAACAATTACCATTGATGAGTTAAAATTAAGTATATAATGTGTACTACAATATAACTATTACCATGGGAACGTAATGAATATATTGGAAGAACCATCGGTAAATAAAGCAGTTCTAAATAATACTAAGTCCTGTTAGTTGTAACGTATTCATACCGGCGCCCTCAATCCATTGATTATTGTCATGTTGGTGAATGTTGGAATTAGTTCTGTTAACGTGGACGCTTCTCATTGACAATATATATGTACAATATTCGCTAGCAAACTGGTGTTTACTCAGACTGGTCATTTGCATATAAAATGACTAGATGAAAGCATTTAAATACCAAATGAAACTAACCAGACAATGCCATTGATCGGCTAAGTTCATTCTGCAAGATTTCGAGGACTTGGGCTGCGCCCTCTTCTCCCTAGCAACATATAAACAAAACGA